GAGAGCGGAGTGTCTGCTGCTATCCCTGTGGGGGGCTGCCACTCTTCCCCATTGTGCTCTGATCAGCTCCTAGGCATCACTCAGGGCTGGGCTAGAGACAGTGGCTCACCGGGACAGAGGTGACACTCCTGGTGCCGGGGACAGTCATGGGACAGCTGGCTTTGTAAAGGGAGGTCCATCCAAAGGGTCCAGAAGGGGCTGGAACTCGGGTTACACCATCAGAAACATGGGTAGGCCTTCTCTTTCAACACCTGCTCAGCTTTTCGAATTAGGTAGACAGCTTCTTTGGCAAATTAAAATTCTCTCGCAGGCTTGTCTCTGCCATGTGCCACATGTCTGGATGTGTCTAAGGGTGACCAGCTCATCTTGGTTATTGGGGACTGTCCCAGGTTTGGCTCTAAAAGTCCTGTATCCCGGGAAACCCCTCAGTCCTGAGCAAACAGGGATGGTCAGGCACCCCTTTTCCCATGGCAAGTCACACCGAGTTCAGGGAACTCTGCCTCCTGGGCCACACGCTGCTCCTGGGAGGGCAGAGGCCACGGCACCCAGCTCCTCCCCATGCCAGGAAGCAGAGTGGCATTTCGTCGTCTCCCTTCTCACCACCCTTGCTTCCACTTCTGCCCCTCCTCGGTATATAAGGAATGAGAAATGAGTGTGCACTAGGGAATGAACTTTAAAAGCAAACCCCGTTTCCCTAACACTGGACTCAGAGTCGGTGGTTCTCTGGGTCTGCCTCTCCCTGGCAAATTTTGATTCCTAAGGGAACGGAAACGAGACATCTGGGTGCCCCGAGCCAAACCCAACTCCTCCGCAGAGGCAGCCCTGGCGGGCAGACCCTTGGCTCACCTTCCAGAAGAGGCCTACTTGGGGCTGCTCTCCTCCCTGTGGGTATGACCCAGCCCCGAGGAGTCGTCCACCCACCCCGTGACACCCTGCCGTGTAAACCGTCTCTCCCAACTTCCACCCTTCCTTTCTTTCCCCCTCCTCCTCTTCTGGGCTCCTGTCCTGCAGGAGGGCCCTTTTCTGACCCTTCTAGAAGGATCCCTTTCCTGGTTGCTTCCAGTTAGGCCCTGTTGACAAGTCACTGTGGGGCTTGGCTGTCACCGAAGGGCATCATCAGGGGACTGCCTGTGGTTTGTTTGTTAAAGAGTCCTTCGTTCCCACTTCCCTCTCCCTCCCATTAATTTGCTGTGGTCCAGGCTAGTAATGGCGTCTTTGTGCTTTTGCTGGGGAGGAACAAAACCCAAAGACAGTGGCTTCTCTGTCTTCTGAAGGGCATGGGTTTGTTCCACCACGCTGGCTTTGGAATATTGTTTTGAATTTTCATGGCCCATCCTGGAAAGGAAACCTTGCCTGGACTTTCCCTTCCCAAGCTTAGAGGGTGGAGAGGATGGCCTCTACACCCCTCCTGCAGGAGTGCCGTGGCAGGCAGTATTCGGTTAGCTCGGAGGCCGTGGGGAGCACACAGCAGGGCTGCCAGAGGGGAGAGCAATCCTGGGGTGTCCTCATTGCTACCAGCTCCCCTGAGGAGGCTGTGCTTTCCCTTCTTTGCAGGCTCCCATCCCCTCCAGACAACCCATGCCCCCAGGCTCCGGAGTCCATTCAGAGGTGGACCTCCCGAGAGACCATCCATCCACCTGGACCCATTTCCCTCCCACCCCTTCGCACCTGTCCAAGTGGAGCTCGGTGCTCTCCACTGCCTTTGTTGATGCAAACGGTCTCCCCACCCACCATCACTTTGACTCTCCTGCCCTCGGTTCCCTGGGCCCCCACAGGCTTCCCAGATCAGTGTGGATACAGCGAGCACCCAGTCTGCAGGCTCTTTGACAGGTTCCCGAGTGGCTGCTGGTGTCTGCAGCTTCCAGGTGCCGGGAGCTGGAGCAGCAGGGAAGGGGCTCCTGAGACGGAGGTAGGCCCGCTTGCTATCCCCTTCCTCAGCCCTTCAATGACTCTTAGGCTAGTGGTTCTCAGCACTGTCGCAGACAGGGCTCCCACCACCTCGCAATTAATCAGAACCTTGGGGGTGGGGCCAAGGTAAGGCGTTTGATAAGGGGCCCTGGTGATAGGAATGAGCAGCCAGGTTTGAGAGCTGTGGATTTAAATCACGATGCCGAGCTGTAACAAGGGGCAGAGAGGAGCAGGGGGCATGGAGGAGACCGGGCCCCTTCCATCTGGCCGCCATTACCTGGTCAACATCTAACAGATGCAGAGCAGGGCACGAGAACATGGATGGCCAGGGCCTGGGCCACACTACATATCTGTGTGTGTGGAGAAGGGATGTGTGTGAAGATCGGGGTGACAGAGAAGCTGTGGATGCCCTCGCTGGGGCAGGGGAGCTAGCAGCACTCAGGGGAGACCCTGTGATTGCCCAGAGGGCACTGCCTTGCCTGACAAGCCCGGCAGGATCCAGGTGGGGCGCCTAGTTGGGCTGGAAGCCCCATGCCAGAGCTGGGCAGGGCAGAGGTCAGGAGGCTTGCCAGGGATGGAAGAATGGGCTTTCTGTGCTGCTTATCGGGATGGTGACTCCTGCACAAGATGTGGAGGGGGCTCCCATAGCCCGCCCGACGGGCGGCTGCAGCCTCTCTGGGGCATGGCGGGGGCTTTT